ATTAATTATTATATTTATAAAAAAATTATATTATTAAATCAAATATAAATTACTTCGTTATTGAACCTAAATTAAATTATAATAAAAAAATTGAATTAAAAAATTACACATAAATAAGAATTTTAAATAGTTAAATCTGATACTAATATCGATATATTTTTGTCAAATTTTTATGATATCTTCAAACTTATATTTAATTCAAAAATAAAAACATCATCGCTTTCTCAAAATCACATAAGACCATATTATAACATCGACTGAGATAAATAATAAAATAAAATATTAAAATCAAGATGTATCTCACTGCATTGCGCGAGTACCCTTCTAGTATATATATATATATATATATATATATATATAAGATTTGATTTAGTTTAAAATCTTAGTAATTAATGCAATGTTTTGATTTGTAAAGTCTTAATGGCATCGAGAAATACTTAGAAATTTTCAAATCAAATAAACAAATATACACGTGATAAATGATTTGTGCAAATGGTGGAAAGTGGACATAGGACAAGTGAATTCGATTGATAATTTTTTTGACCGTTGCTCGGAGGTAGGTGGGAATTTTCGTGTAAGAAGACGTTTATTGGAATGGTGTATGGATTCTTCTGGATTATTTGGAACCTGCGCAACCGCAAAACTTTCTCGGTCCCTTCTCAGATGATGGCTACTTTTCTTGCAGGCCAGCTTCAAGCGTATTCTTTTTTCTGGTTTAAAAACAGGGTGCCGAAAGATGTTATAGCAAATAGTTGGATAGAGTGGTGTAATTCTCTCATATCTTGTTTTTAACCTGTATTCTCTTTTGCTAGCATATTGCTAGTTTCTATGCTATTTCGTCTTTGTTACCGGTAAAAAAAAATATACACGTGATAAAGATATTATAATATATAAATGAAAGCATTTATTTCATTTCTAGGGACTGAGGTCCACGTGGGACCCCTTACGTATATTTAGAATCTCACAAATATCCACAACATATATTTCTATAATAATACTTCACTTTTGAGAATTTAGCCTCAATATTTTTCTCTCTGCAGTTTTGAAATTACAAGATGATTATTGTAGTTTATAAAATGTTCGGATTTGATGCTCTTTTTTAAACGATCGTTAGATAAGAATCATTTTAGTTTTTTATAGACTTTTATGTCTTTTTTTTATGTAATTTCCAAGTGGATAAAAAGACAGAAAAAATCAATAAGAAAAACATGAGACTTCACATAAATATATATAGAGAGATAGAGACTTAGGGTCACGTGAGATTAGGAAATCACTTTTTTGCACTTGAAACTTTATAGCAAAACATTGTGAAAGTAACATTCACAGTGTTTTTGTTGTGAATGCTCGGCTTTTTTTTACCTTCACAGCATTTTGCTATGAAGTTTCAAGTGTAAAAAAAATGTCCCACGAGTTTCATAAAAACAGGTTGGTCTCACGTAAACTCAACCTTATAAGGTTCATTACAAAACATTAAATATTTTAGGAATGTAGAGACAACTTGTTTTGTGAGTATTCATGATAATTTATGCGATAAAATATCCATAATGAATGTTATGCCAAGCATCCATGATCAATAACATTTATAATTGATACTCACAAAACAGGTTATTCCTGACGTTTCTAAAATATTTAAAGTTATTTAAAATACACCTGTCAGATATATATACACACAATATATATATATATATATGTGTGTGTGTGTGTGTGTGTGTGTGTGTGTGAGTGTGTGTATATATAACATCCCCTCATTATCTTGTGAAGAGTTATAAAATGGAGGGGAAGAAGCAAGAAGATTACTCACTTGCAGTAGCACTACTTGTTGGCAATGGAGATTTGGGAAGAAAGGAAGAGGAGGATGAATACACATCTCCCACTGCTTCCTTCTTCAGTACTTGTTTCAATTGTCTCAATGCCCTCTCAGGTTCTTTTCATTTCTTTCATTTCTTCTCTTTTCCTCCATTCCACCATCAAAGACTAATCGTAGGTGAACCTCCATGGCCCCGAGGGCTTTGGCAGGGTCTGGATTTGTTTTCGAACCAGGGAATGATGAGATTTTCACTACATCTTCTGCACGTATTATTTATCCAATTAGTTACAGGACTAAAACCTACTTTCGTCTTGATGTTGGTTCTTAGGAGTTGGAATCCTCTCGGTTCCGTACGCATTGGCATCGGGAGGGTGGTTGAGCTTGATACTGCTTTTCGCAATCGCAAGCTCAACCTTCTACACAGGATTGTTGATCCAAAGATGTATGGATGCTGATCCAACAATACGAAGTTATCCCGACATAGGGGATCGTGCCTTTGGGAATGTAGGCAGAATTCTAGTATCGATCTCTATGAACGTCGAGCTCTATTTAGTCGCAACGGGTTTCCTGATTCTCGGAGGTGACAACTTGAGCAACTTATTTCCGGAAATGGAGTTTGATATTTACGGTACTCGTATTGGTGCACAAACTGGATTTCTGGTCCTTATTGCGATCGTTATCCTTCCCACGAGTTGGTTAAACAACATGAGCCTTCTTTCGTATATATCAGCCAGTGGGGTTCTAGCCTCTCTGATCATCCTAGGCTCAATCTTATGGGCTGGTTCATTTGATGGTATCGGTTTTCAGGAAAGGGGCAAACTCGTAAACTGGAAAGGGATCCCGTCAGCTATCAGCTTATACGCATTCTGCTACGGTGCTCATCCGGTTTTCCCTACCTTATATACTTCCATGAAAAACCAACGTCAATTCTCAAAGGTATATACATGAGTTACGATTTTCGCCCCTTACCCTGTATCCCCTAAACAGGTCCATTGGTTAAATGACCTTCGGAAGCGTTATTTAGCTAAATAGCGTCTTGCCAAATGCATTTTAAATCCATGACCATCTGACGGGTTTTTAGGCATTCTTGTATATGAAAGTAACTTTCTTCTGTTAAGCAGTGACATTCTTAAATCTGTCAGAAGGTCAAGGATTTAAAAGAACCCTGACAGAAGGTCATTTAATCATATGACCCCTTAATAACACTCATCTCCATTATCACTAAATTTCTTTTACATTGCAGGTCTTGATCCTCTGTTTTGCCTTTTGTACAGTTACTTATTCATCAATGGCCGTTATCGGTTACCTTATGTTCGGTTCAGAAGTAGAGTCACAGATAACCTTAAGCCTTCCTACCGACAAGATAAGCTCGAGAGTGGCCATATCAACGACCCTGGTTACCCCAATAGCTAAATATGCACTTATGCTAACACCAACAGTCAACGCTATTGAATCATGGTTGCAATCTTATTACAAGAAGAGGAAGTGCGGTTTCCTAATTAGAACGATCTTAATGATAAGTACGGTAGCCGTAGCCCTGTTTCTCCCCTTCTTTGGGGATTTGATGTCGCTCGTGGGAGCACTCTTAAGTGCTACGGTTTCGATCACGATACCATGCTTGTGTTACTTGAAGATTTCAGGCGCTTACAGGAGAATTGGCCTCGAGATGGTGATTATTGGGTTGATTGTGTTGGTTGGTCTAATGATTGCGCTTGTGGGTACTTACATATCGTTCATAGGTATAGTACGCCGTCTATGAAGAGCAAATCGATTGCAGAGCCATGTTAGCCGATGGAACTTTTGGGGGGAATGCGCATTTTGACATTCACTAAAAGTCAAGTTCCTAAGTTATAACAATATGTAACGGATATCAATTTTTCAAGGAAATACATGTCTATCGAATAATCGTGCGCTCTATATGCCCCGACACAATGTTGCAGCCAGGATTGCAGTTTTGGTGTTGACTTAGGCCATATACTATGCTTGACCATAATATCGACTTGATGTTGTGTTCTAAAGGAAATCTACTTCAAGTAGCAATAAACTAGCTTATTGAAAAGTTACTTCAAGTAACGTTTCCACAAGCTTCAGGGGCTTTTTTCTACTTTTTTCCAAGTATGCCCTCTTGTAACTTTCCAATTAATTTTTTAGCATGTCTCTTCAAGTCAATTTTACAATGCCATCAAAATTTTATCAAACATGACTACTTTATCAGCTAGCTTATGAGCCAATAGCTAACTTATCAACTATTTTAAATAAGGTGATCTTTCATAAAATGATATGGAATGGTTGTCTTAATGTAAATAGGATGCATTACTATGAATAAACACAAGTTACATATGTATATATATAAGGTCAGGTTCAAGGAAACCGCAAAAAAGTGAAAAACTAAGAAACATCCTGGTAACTGTTTATCTGGACGATATGTACATGTGCATACAAGTAATTTGTAAGCAATTTGTCTAGTATGCACTGCCTAAAAAGCAAGAAACAATTTCAATTGTATGCACATGTGCATACCGTTCAGATTAATGGTTACCAGGGTGTTCCTTCGTTTTTCATTTTTTTGGGTTTCTCCTGAACCTCCCTCTATATATATATATATATAATATATATGAAAGAATGGCAGAAAGAACAGCAATGGAGCAAATTATGGATTGTTAATCTTCATGTTCAAACTTAAACCATCTAGTAACATATAAATATTCACACAAGAAGCTTTAGAATCATACCCAGATAAGAATCTGACGGTCGACCCTTTTACCTCAATACAGCTCTCTCCGGCCATCTTTTTCAGCCCTCCAACCCTCATACTCTTCCTCAGCTCGGCTGCATCCTCCCACTTGTTTACATCTGCATATCTATTCGCAAGCATTACCAAATTCCCGCTCCACCGTGGCTCCAATTCAAGTAATCTTTCTCTTACCTTCTCCCCAACCCCATCAAAATCACTACCACCATTTACATTGCACGCACTGAGCAAAGTCCTCCACACCGTCGCATTGGGCTTAATGGGCATGTTTAAAATGAAATYRTATGCTTCTTTGAGACGACTAGCTCGTCCTAAAACATCTACCATTGCACCATAGTGGATTAACTGAGGCTTAATCCCATAAACATGCTTCATTTCCTCAAATAATCGATACCCATCTTCCACAAATCCTCCATGGCTACACGCACAAATAACACCAAGAAATGTCACATAGTTAGGTTGGATTGAAGTGGCTTTCATTTTCTTGAAAAGTGAAAGGGCATTTCTTGCAAAACCATGTTGAGCTAATCCTAGAATCATCGCACTGCATGTCCACACGTTATAAAGAGGCATTTCGTTGAACACTAAACTTGCGCTATTCAAAGCACCACACTTGGCATACATGTTGACAATGGCTGTTCCTAATTGACAGTTGAGTTCGAATCCATTTTCAATTATTTGAGCATGAATACATTTTCCCATCGTCAAGTTCCCGAGCTCAGCACAGACAGAAAGCATCACCACCATTGTAGTTCCATTAGGCTCAATCCCAACCTCTCGCATCTCCCTAAAATGCTGTACSGACTCATTAAGCCACGATACRCSAAAGAAAGAAGAAATGATGGTGTTCCAAGAAACAACACTTCTGTACGACATTTCATCGAACAYTTTGCGTGCATCAATGATCTTCWTACAACATCCATAAAAATTAATCATGGTGTTGCGAACATAGACATCAGAATCCAAACCACGCTTCAAGCAGTCAACTTGGATTTGTCGGCCTTCTTCAAGGGCCAACAACGAAGCACAAGCTTTAAATAAAGACGCGTAARAAAGCTCAAAGGGTGGAATACTTGAGCAACGCATTCGTTTAAAAATCAATATGGATTCTCTCTCTAAATCGCCATTGTTTCCGTTTCTGATGGCGCAAGCCCTCGTGACTTTGTTCCATGACATACTTGTTGGGATGAAATCCAGATTAGGGCATGAATTAGCAGGAGAATTTTCTTAGAAGTAGAAGAGTTGTTTATGTGGTGCGAAACCAAATTGGAGTTGCAGGTGGAAGTTTCATGAGGATTTGAAATTGCATGGAATATTGGGATTCATTTCAAAACAAGGTTTCGAAACACTATGTAATTTTGAAGTATAACTTACAGTTGTTCACCAAAGGTTAACCGGTAAACATTTGTCACCAAGAATCACCCCCTTTAATTTACCTTATCGGTAACATTCTCAGCCATCAAAATAGATTATTGACAATCATGTATTACCCGGTAAGCATTACCAACCAGATCACATTCTTCAACCTCACCAGATAAAATTATGTCATTGTCATATTATCCAATAAGATAAATAAAACACATGCTAAGCACTAAGTCACAATATTAGATCTACCTCACTCACCGGATAAATTTTTTACCTTTGTCACATTCATCCAGTAAGATAAGTAACACCCTGTAAGGCCACAGTCTGAAAAAATTCTTCATTCTCGTCATATTCATCAAATAAGTTAAGTAAAACCAGGTAAGCACTAATCAAGTCGCAGTTTACTACCTTATTTACCAAGTAAAATTCTTTGTCTTTGCCATATTCACTCGGTAAGATAAGTAACAGCCACTAAATGTTTACCAGATAAATGTTTGTTAAACTGCCCGTAACATTAATTAACCAATAAAAAACCATAATCTTAACACTAACGTCATTTGTTAAAAAAAAACTGAAAATTAAACGATAATTAACTTTCTATTCCTTGGTACATAATCAAATCAAGCAACTAATCCAAGGCAAAAATGGGGAACCAAAAGTCGCCTTCGTTCTCATATCCATACAGAACTCAAAACCTAATACCTCATTGAGACTTTTTCTTCTTGCCATCGATCGATTTGGACTTCTTGATCGTCGGCATTTTCCCTGGAAACGCCCACCGCAAGAATCGTTCCCACGTATAGCATCCGACGAACATCAACGCCGCCCAGATCAGAAGCTTATCTCGCAGTTCCCTTGGTAATGGGACGAGCTTCAACCAATCGTTCAAATCCCGAAACAGATCGGAAGTGATGACGGTGAAGAACACGACCGCGCCGAAAAGCGCAATCTTAAACGGCTTGTTTTCGGATATACTTTGGTTAAACGGGTGACCCATGTAGTTGACAGCAAACGTAGCGACTTGGATCATCATGCTGACCATGTATGAGACGGTGTTGACCAAATTGCTCTCGAATTCGGAGTCCGGCTCGATGCATTCGTCGGGCATGTGTTTTTCGGCGGCTTTCACGGAGGAGATCAAAAAAAGGATGTGAAGAGCAAACTGGCCGAGTAGAGAGAGGAAGACGTAGAAACAGAAGACGTTAGGGTGGGGCCGTTCGGCAGAGAGTGTCGGCATTGGGCGGGCGTGGGAGATGAAGAGGAAGAAAGCAGCGGTGAAGATGCCGCTAATGGTGGCCTGAACGTCACCGAGCTTAACACCGTCCAAATACATCACACTCAGAACATAGGCGGTGGCAAGGCAGTTGAGTCCGAGAATCTTGAACATTTGCAAGGTGGTCACCAGAGTGCTACGGCCCTGGCGGATGATGTCGGTGGTCGGGGAGACCGACGCATGTTTGGCGGTGAATGGGGACGCCATTGACGCATCGCCGAGTTTGACTATTGGAGCTGACCGACCATCATCTCCTTCATTTAATTCATCCATGAGCTTCTTTAGCTTCTGCCTTTGAATCTCTGCTGGTGTCAGATGGCGGTTACTGGTGGCAGGGGGGTTGCTGGCGGAACTTGATTCCGCAACGGACTTGGGTTTCTTCGGCTTAGCAGGTTTAGTTTCTGATGAGGGCTTGTCGCTGGTACTCGGAGGAGGTATTGCATTCAGTAAAGCCACTCCTACATGAGCCTGAAAATGTAAATAAAGATCAAGAACCAAACCAATCTAGTACACTACAAAAATATCGGCTTTTATAGTTAGCCAAATATGTCTAAGGGGCCATTTTTGTTGGTTTTCCATTAAGCTCTGTATAGATAAAACTCTGTATGGATTAATGTCTATATAGATTGGGAAGGTTTTTTAACAGATGGAAGAAGCATTTTTTTAATTGGAAGGGGCAGGTCTAGAAAAATTCACCCTAAAAACTTACTGAATGACCCTGTTTCTATATCATTAAGCCACTACCAAGCAGTCAGCTGACCGAATAAGCTACGAGTCCTATTAAGCTGTTAACAAAGAGACCCTAAATGTCCTTAATAAACTGCTTTACAGGACTTGAGTTTATATGACCAAAAAATCATGCACTCTATGTACAAGTGTTACAACAGAAAGGATTTATTTGAACATTCCAACAAGTTAATTAGAACACTTTTGAAATAAAGTGTGCAAGTGTTTTGAGAGGTGTCTTATAAACACATCTTTTTACAGGACATTTTTTCAAATAATGTCATACAAAAGGACTAATAGAACACTTTATTTCAAAAGTATCATACAGAGCTTGTTAGAACGCCCAAAGGCGTCCTATCAGCTTATCATAAAACCTTTGCATATGATGCATAATTGTTTGACCCTATAAACTTCAAGACCAATAAAGCAGTTATTAGAACATTTAGACACATTTAACGTCCTATAAAGCCAATTTTGTTGTAATGGAATAATATTACACACTGACGAAGGTCCGGAGAGGGTAGGATTTCGCAGACCTTACCTCGAGGTTGTTTCCATAAAAACCAGCGGTTTGCAAAACAGAAATTAACATGAAACAAGTGCGGGAAATAGCAGAGAAGCGTGTGCAAACACACAAAACGACAATCAGAAGCCACACAATCTTCAGACTTTCTTACATTACCTGCTTCAAAGCTCCTACGTCATTAGTGCCATCACCACACATCAAAGTGATCCTTCCGGATGACTTAAAAGTGGTCATTATCAATTCTTTTTGCTCTGGAGCCACCCTTGCAAATACCTGATATTTAAAAAACGCGGTGTTAGCGTCACACTGTTAGAAATTATCGATCTCATACTTGCTACAAAAAGTCGCAACCTTAACATATGGAATCACTTTGACAACAGCAGAGGTTTGCAGCAACATTTCGAAGCAGTCGCCTCCGATACAGAGGTCATGATCCTCCGCTAAAGCCTCAACCTCTTCCTCGCTGCAAATAACAAGTTATATAACATCTCAACCAAAATCTATACTATATTATAGAACATTTACGTAAAAGTCTTAAAAAACTTAATAAGCGCTATTAAGTTTCAAGTTTATAAGTAAATTGCTACACAGGTAATTTTTTAAAGCTTGTTGAACTCCGTAAAACCAACTAATAAGCATGTTCAAATACAGGATAATCATTGAGCCATACCAACTAAAATATATTACATCTTTATTTTTAAATCTAAAATATTTAAATTATCATAAAATTCCAAATGGGAGGAGTTATTGAATGGACTAGGTCTTGTTGGAAAGGTTTCGTGTTTAAATTAAATGAATTATACCAAAAACATGAATTTATAATCTTTAAAGTTTTTAAAGCTTTTTGAACTCCGTAAAACTAACTAATAACCAACAGATAAACACATTTAAATACAGGATAATCATAGAGCCATGCTAACTAAAATAAATTTCATCTTTTTTTAAATCTAAAATACTTAAATTGTAATAAAATTTTGAATTAAATAAATATACCAAAAAACAAAAACTTTATAATCTTTAATTTGACACCAATATCGATATTTTTTGGGTTTTTTATTAATCGGGTCTTCAAATTGGTAAAGACATGTTCAACCATCGCTTGTAATTTCTACTTTATTCATTCAAATATAAATTTCAAATTTTCTTTTTCAATGAAAATTTGTGTTAATTGTCTATTTTCGGTTTACAACAAAATCTTGCAACCCACTGCATCACACGGGTAGACAACTAAGTATATCAAATGCATAACAAAGGAAGCAAAGCTAATGACTATGTTACCTGTAGCTAACGGTCTCCGTTTCATCTGGTGAAACCCATTCGTATCTTTCTTTGTTCTTCATTGGCGCAAGTATTAATGATGGTTTCGAGATTATATGAACTTGACGAGCAACATGACAAGCCGTCAATGCTTGATCACCGGTAATCATAACCTGATCACAAAAGAGTTTCTTGATAAGAAACACCAAACAAAGAGTATAGCTACTTCTAAGTTTTTATTTACAACGCCTTAAACCCACCTAAAAGTTTCGAGTTCTGGCTAATGGTTTATCAACTGACCAATGAGTTTCATACATGAAAATACAATCCCCCCCCCCTTGGCGTCTCAAAATAAGTATCCACAATGAAGAAGACACCGTTGTAGAAATGTGTAATCTTTACACTTTTTAATCAACTAAAATGACAATTTTACACTTAAAAATAGAGGAAGTATTTAATTTCTCTCTCATAATTGAGGGTAGAATCGGAAAGTAGGCGGTTACTTTTATAAGTTGACACTTATTTTGGAACGGACTAACATAGAAATGTGGCCACTTATTCTCAGAGGGGGTAATGGAAGGAACTAAGGGCCTGTTTGTTAGTAGCTTAGTGAGCTTGATGGGACTCGCAGCTTATTCGGTCAGCTATACATGACTGTTTGGTTGTGGCTTAATGATATAAAAAATGGCTTATTCAGTAAGCTTCTAGGGGGAGCTTTATGCAGAAAGCCAAGTTTTTCCAAACCTGTCATTCCCAATTAAGAAACATACTCATTCTGTACTGAAAAAACCCTCCCAAACAAAAACCTTCCCAATCTGTACAGACAAATTAATCCACACAGACAGCTTTATACATAGAGGATTTAATGGAAAACCAACCAAACAGCCCGCTACTCACCAAGTCATGCGATGATTTTTTCAATTCAGACAAGACCGTAGCAGAATCTCCTCTGATAGGGCAATTAAATACCTGAAGCATATGTGAAGAGGTCAAGAAAGCATACTGGCGAGAAATACTACGTTGTAAATGTGGAAAAAAATGCAAGTATGCAATAAATTTGTAAACAGAGCAGTTGATATATCTTCGTACCGCAAAACCAGCAAAAGTAAGCCCGCTTTCCACTACTTCCCTGTCCAAGTTTCTAGCTTCACTCACCTATAGTCATTAAACCAAAAAGAAATAATTCAAAATATATGTACATATATGTGAAAAAAAGGGAAAAAGAAAATCGAAAATGAATCTTAATCATACCAAGTTATTAGATTGTAGATTCATAACCTTAAGATGAAGAATAAAATTTACATACAGGGATGATTAAGAATGTAATTGACATTGCAAATCATAAGCTTAAAATAAAGACAGCTCAAATTTTCATACGGGAAGATAAAGCATGCAATTTATAAAATTGTCCCTTTAGTATTGTCTCAAATTAATCTGTGAGAACCGAGTACCACATCATTTCGCAATCTGAAATCAGAAACATATCTTGCTTTGATATTTCAAGATTTCCTATTTTGACTTTCAAAGGTAGATCTAAAAGCAAGATGACAGGTACAATACTGCACTTGAATAAATTCCAAAAAATGCATCGTAAAGTGATACGTAATATGTACGTATATATGAATGTCATATTATAAAAGAAGAAATGATTGTTTTTAGTGTAATCTGTTTTGATGCAATTTTGATTATATTTCGTCTATTTTCGATAAAAAAATAGGGGGTGTAATTTAAAAATAGAGTTGTAACCACCCTTCCATCACATCCCTTGGATCAATTAAATTAATGGTTGATGGGGATTCTGGTTCCCTGGAACCCCTCCCCCCCCCCCCTNATAGAGTTGTAACCACCCTTCCATCACATCCCTTGGATCAATTAAATTAATGGTTGATGGGGATTCTGGTTCCCTGGAACCCCTCCCCCCCCCCCTTCTCTGTATATATGTGTGTGTGTTGGGAAAGAGTTCAAATGAGAACCATAAACATTTTGAGAACATGGCAGCCAACTATTTTACAAGTTATTGATGATGAATAACCCTAAAATATTCATGAATATAATGATTTTCATTTGTTAATGATGATATTCATCATGAATGGTTGGTTCCTAGGTTCTCAAAATATTTACAAGAGTTATTCGTACCGAGGGTCATTAAATTCCTCCTGATTTATTAGAACTAAAAGAATTCCATTTAAGCATGCTATCCATGATACAAGTCGGATCCTATTGTTGTTGTTTAAGTACAACTAGGAATTCTCTGAAGTACAAATAATAAAAACGGTTGCCCAAAGGGAAAGGATACTTACCGTCATATCAGGAAGAGGCTTAAATGCTAAAGCCAGGACACGAGATCCTTGACGTGTGTACCTCTTGTAGGTGCTTATATAAAACGCTGGTACATCATTTAGTCTTTCTTGGATGGTCTCTGGTGCTCCCTGAAAGCATGGTATGCAAAGATTTGGGAGGATCAAATATAAAAGATACACCAAATTCTATGAACCATACCCAGCGCACCATCTCGGAAGTACAAATAAGTGGTACATACACCTTCCACCATCATACTTGATATGGACCTTTTACATACCTTCACAAAAGCAAAAAATTGCTCCTCTGTACGAACAACAACGGCCATTCTTTTCAAGTGGGATGCAAAGTGATGTCTCTGAACGATTTGGACAGTACTGCCACCTCCCCTGAAAACAATGTAAACCACAAACTTCAAGAAAGTTCTTTCAAAGAGAAACCATATAGAATGTAGAGGAATGTAATCACTAAGCAGCTCTTTCCAAGGATCTTAGATTCCAAACTCATAAACCTCTTAGAGCATCTCCAACAGATTCCCAAAATGGAGAAAATAGAGATTTTGGGCATGTTTTTTGCCCCAACAGATTCTCCAAAAGGCCAAAACCTTTCTCCAAAATGGAGAAAGTAGGAGAGTGTGTAAAAATCTCCAAAGTTGGAGAACACCCCAAAAATGATTACAATGAGAGAGAAATACTTTTTAGAGTAAATTACAATTTTCGTCCCTGAGATTATTAAATTTTTTGGATTGGGTCCCTCCAACAAAACAATTACATGTATGATCACCATGGTTTCACTTTTGTTATGGATTGGGTCCCTTGCCTTAACTCCACTAACCGGTGCTCCGTTAAGCCTGGAGTAATATCGTCTTTTTATAAATTATACTTATTATATTTAATATATAATATATATTAATAAAACATTAATTGTCCCTGTCTATCAAGCCCTCCCCCTACCCCGGGGTTGGCTTCCCTATTCTGGCTATACACCCAAATCACCAGCAACATCTCCTTCTCTAGCTAACTCACCATCTTCTGCCACCTCTACCGTGCTACAGTGAAACCCTCCAGCCCCCTTCCCGCCAAGGAAACCTCGTCCCCTACCCAAGCCTGGCCCTTATTAGGGGCTGTGATGGCAACCACCATGGGCATCAAACACCTCGTCCCCTACCTAAGCTCTCCCCTCATCTCTGAGTTAGATTTAGATTTATGGTTTGTTGAGTTTGATTTTTGTTCTGGTTTCATAAAAACAGATGAAATCAAGAAACGGAAATACCAATAATTCTATATAAATCGAGAAAGTAAACCATTCTGTTGAACACAAAACAAATGATACAACCCTAACCTATTGAATATGTAGTTCTCATCTAACTGTTATCAACGCTAACCTCGATCACTGGTATGGTCGATGTTGATATTTGAACCAGAAACCATGCTGGTGGGTTGTCGGAAGCGGACCGATCAGATGGAGAAATCGACGGAAGTGATATTGAACCAGAAACCACGATGTTATACTTGAGAAACAAGTGAATCAGCCGGTAGGTTGTCGGAGTTCGAAGTAGAAATCGACGGAAGTGAGATCTAGGGTTCCACCCAATGGACGTGGGTCTTAGCTTGGCTGCCGTGGTTGGTTCCGGTGACAAGTGAACGCTACCAAAGAAAGGAGGAGGTGGCCGATTGACAGAGTTGGTCGACGGAAGGAAGGGGCTCCTGAATTTGGTCGCTCATCGGTGCATTCGATCATCATCAATGGTTCCCTGGTGAGAATTGGAAGAAAGTAGAAGATTTTGGTGTATTCATCTTCTGTAGGTAGTGGCAGTTTGGAGAAAATGGAAGTAGTCTGGCAGCAATGAGTGGCTGGAGATAGGCAGAAGGGAGGGATGTGGAGAACAGGGGCGGATGCCGATGGGGAAGTTCTTGAGGAAGGAATGATATGAGCTGTGCATACATATATTTTATACATATACTATATATTAATTTAATTGTGTTTATATATAATAAATTATATATATAATTTTTTTATATTTTTAAAAGGAAATAATGCAAAAGAACCGTATTACCCTTGACTTGACAGAGCAACTATTAGTGGAGTTAGAACAAGAGACCCAATCCATAATAAAAGTGAAACCACGGTGACCATCAGTGTAATTGTTTTGCTTAAGGGGTCCAATCCAAAATTTTCAATAACCATAGGGACGAAATTTGTAATTTACTCTACTTTTTAATATATTTCCACCAATAGGAAAATTTGAATATTTTATTAGATAATGGAATATTTTAATAATATAATCAATGTTGTAATCTCCAAAATGGAGAATCTACTGGAGTTGAATATATTTTTGTTTTAAAGATTTTGAAGTTTCATTCTCCATTTTGGAGAAATTTTGGAGAATTTGTTGGAGATGCTCTTAATACCCTGTTGTTTCTACCATCCTCACCAGATTCCAAAACGATATTTTCCTTCCAAGAGCATACAATCAAATACATAAAACACTCAAATATCAAAGTGATAAGTAAGCTACTTGAAGCTATAGAGAGGAAATAATGAATAGCTTACTTCTTAGGCATGGCCTTCTCATCAGATCTATAAGTCCACTCTATCCCCTTGATTGCAGCCTTCTCAAGAGGATCACCAACCTACAAGAAACATTATGACTATAAGTATATAGACCGTGCCTAGCAAGCCAAACCAAAAATAGGAATTCAATTTTAGATTAAGATTGGGTAAAATATGTAGACTATAAATGCATTAAAATATGTAGACTATAAATGCATTGTAAGCTCATGGTACAAGACATATCGAACAAATAGTTCATCTTAGCTTATTCGTCTCTCAAGTAAGAAACTTCTTGTCACCATACAGGTACCTGAATATAAACAGATGATGTTGGTTTGTGTGCCTTAGAATGTTTTTCTGGATAAAATACCTTAGATATGCGGAAACATCTGCTTTAAAACATATTTTACATAAAAGTTTATGACTATGGTTTCTTTTGGTGCTATACAAGAGCCTTGTAGCTCGTAACATTTATCAGAGTAGCAAATGTTTGATAACCAATAACCATCAATCTGCAAAATAATTATCTTATGTGTTACAAATGACGATTCATAAAATTGATGGTTTAATCATTCTAGCACTTGATATTAATATATTTTAGAACCATTTGCACCGTTTCATCAATAGAAAAGGCAGTAAAAATTAATCAGATAAGGACTACATCATCAATCTAGCAGAATACCAGACAGAAGGTTCTGAACCTTCTGGCGTGTAACCAATGGGAAGTACTTGAGGTTCCAAACTGTAGTTACATATTTTTATTCAACATCATGGTGTCTCACACCTTTTGCCATACTATTTCAAGAGTTCATGCAAACAATTCCTTCCATATGGACCAGGCAAATTTTAGGCTTCCGGCCAGTGAGGAGCGGCTCCAAAATTTTGTAACACGTGTGGGATTCAAACCTGAGACCTCTTAATCCAAGGTCCCAACCCTTGAGGTTACAAGTTTAATCGGCATTTTCACTTCTTCTAGTTGAAAGCATTTGCAATACATAATGCTAGTGTGTTTAGAGCACAGAGTTGCCTTTTACACTAGTAAACAAAAAATCCAATAAAAGAGGAAACAACGATAACAATTACGTACCAGCTTGTTGTCCACAAAAACCAGGGCATGGCAGGAAGCAAGAATTTCCAAAGTGCGAGTTGGCACTTTTTTAGTCTCTGTTTCTAAATCTACATTATCACTCAACCCACCGACTCCAGAAAACTCCTGGAGATCAAAGAGCAAACTAAGCATGAATGAGAGGCTGTTTACAAAAAATTTACCACGAATGCCAGATTTGTAAATGACATACCATGTCATCAGATGTCAATGTTCCTGTCTTGTCGAAACAACATATATCAACCTGCAGAATGATAATTCATATGAGCAATCTAGCAAAGACATAATAGAAGACAATGCCAACCACGAGAAAGAAGGTAAAAGCCATAAAATAAATGTAAAAAAAAAAAGCTCAAAGATATTAAACCCAAATGGCACATTATCAAACTGGTCTTGCTCACCTTCCCAGCAAATGGTATACGAAAAGGTTCTGTACAGAATATACCACGCCGTGCTAGTGCAATCAAAGATGTATTAACAGCTATCGACAACTCCATTGGCAACTCAGGGGGGATCACAGAAGTTATAATTAAGGAACAGCTCAGGAGAAGCTTGTATCTACTCCTGTTTGGGTCCTCAAGCCCCTAAATCAGCAGCATCAATGGTGATATCTTAGACATGCCCAAAAACACAAATAGAAGTCTATTTCAACACCCAATTGAGATGATAACCATGAGGTTACCTTTTTAAGTACGTAACCGGCTGCTATGATTGCAAACACAACTAGAAACAAAATAAAGAGTCCACTCTCCCAGCTGTTAGCAGTAACCTTCAGAGAAAGATATAAATGTATCAAACAAGAGGCAATGAGAGAGAAATGAGATGCTACATAACCTTCAACTGCCAACAACAATTACCCTCTCCGTTGAGAACAAAATAGTTCGCATCAGTTTCCCTTGGGTCGTCTCAAATCCAGTTCGTAAAACAATTGCTAAACAGCCACCATCCGGAGTTTTCATATGAAAGGTCTGAAGCATGGACAAAACAAACATATTAATTGTGAACTGCAGACTAAACCTGTATTAGAATTAGATGTAACAAGGTGTACAACCTTATCAGGAGTGTGCTGCAATATCTTTGTGCCGCCAAAAAGAACATGGGTTTTATCTCTTTTGGAAGACAATTGCTCTTCTGGTCCTCTGCCCATGATTGAAACCTGTAAAGAAAGCCACTTGTTACAGGTTCACATGACTGCCACAAAATTTTGACATCAACCCAAGTGTACTCCTCTAAGAACACACATATATGCATGTGCATGTAATTGTGGATAGAGAATAGACAAAAACCCAACCTTGTCAACTAAACCCTTCTCTTGCAGAAGGAAACATCACTACTACAAAATGACGGGGAAAATATTGAAGCAAATTGAAAGAGAGAACCACCTTCCATTGGGGGGTAGACTCGCCAGTGAGGATTGCCTCGTTCACGATAGCAGTCCCTGCAAGAATAAGCATGTCTGCAGGGACAGACTTTTCCTCTCCATCATGACCAGCAGCACGACCAACAGACACAACGTCTCCAGGCAAAAGATCCGTCCCTGATATCTTTGTCCACCTGCCATGAAGCAATTTAAAATAGGTCAACAATTGTATGTGAAGTTAACAACCAAAAAACATAAAGTACCAAATTCCCTTTCAGTTAACAAACTTACTTCCCACAACGGTACGCCATTATCATCTGGGAATCTACTCTGACACGTCTAAGCTCTGACAAAGTCTTCAACCGACTTTTGGCCATTGTTGACTCAAACATAAACAGCATAAATAGGGTGAACAGACTATAATACCAATATGCATCCAGACACCAAAGTCCCACACAGAAGACCTGCAGCTCAAAGGTTATAACTTAATTGAGAAAATATCAACACAAGCACATGCTTCAAAACAACTTTTTCTTAATAACATTGCAAGGACACAAGCAACAGAATATATCACAACGCACCTGAAATACAAAGAAGGGCTCCATGCAGTGCTCTTTCATCAATTTCTGGAATGTTGGCTGTGGATATTCAAATCTATATAGATGCCACAAGATTTGAATAAGGTAGTAGTTAAGCATTTGAATTAACAAATGAATTAAAATATGTCAATCTAGTTACATGGGGAAAATAAAGAAAGCATCAAGAAACATATAACAGACCAGATAACCATCAAATATTAAAGCTGTGGATCTGTCTAGAAGACTAGAAGTTCCACGGGTGAAACAGGTTACAACATGAGTCGACCATAAACTGCATGTGTGATGCAGACTGATATTGTTTGTACTCAAAGCACCTTACCTCTTGCAGAACTACCACAGTCTGCTTTACAGCCACGTAATAATATTGTTTTATGCTATCGTATAAATAAAAGACAGCCATTCTTGTTAAAACATCACAATCAGTTGGAGCTTTGATGTTGCATTCAACATGTTATTTACTAACGTTCAGATAAAAGGGAACAATCATTTCATATATTTCCCTTTGAGCTTGTTAAACACACATGTTCAGACTAGGTCACTGTTTAAGGTAAACGACAAAACCAGTAAATGAATAAGAAGTATTCAGATACAAAACTTTTTCGTTGTTATCCCTTTTATTGACCACAACCATAATGTGGACAGAAGATAGAGCTTAGATTGGCAGCAGGGATAAGGAACCGTGGATGACAATCTCTCATCATCCACCTAAAGTATCAAACAAATGAGACATTAGCTTGCAGAAAGTAAAGAAACTTACACATTGCGTCCCCACTTCTCAGCAGCAACTTGAACTTTTGCTTCAGTACCATGTCCAGTACTTTTGAGATAGTAGCCAAAAGTTTCCTTGGATGGGTAAGGAAGCTTACAGAAAGTTTTTTTCTCATTTGAATAGATGAAACACTGCTTTCGAAAATCAAAATATATCTCCTCTGTCGAAGAGCCTGCCAACTGAGTTAAGCAAAAACATATCGATGTAAAACAAATGGTATATTTAAAGTTAACTAAAAACATGAGTTTGTTAAGGAGAGACATTTTCTATTTCATTTTCTGCAGACTCCAGTCTGCCTGACCCCTAGTATAAATAACTTTCTTGTATTTCCTCTAGTTTTGTAAATTAGTTCCTATGTAACATATAAGAATCCAAGTTGAGCTAACAACCTTTCGGAAATGTAGTGGTACTACTTCTTTAGATCCACAAAACCTGGCTGGAGTGATTTTGCATGCATTTGCATGATGAATATCTTTAACCTGCCATATGAAGGCACAAATCACAAGTCCACACATAAAGAGCTAAAACATGAATAGGAGCATTATAGTTTCTTTCAGAATGAGATGTCAAGTGAATCATAACAACAAATTCATCAAAGTCCTTATCTTTGCAGTTCATATAATCTTATATATAGATGAGTTCAGAGTGCCACAAACCTTCGAAAACTGAACGAAACATTTAAAATCCACCGACCATACTGTAAAGAGGAACACCAATATGTGGACAGCTAACAAACCACCAAGAACTATAAATGCGTCAAGGAAATCTAAACTGGGTATAATCACGATCATCCATGTAGCATAAAGTATGGCAAATGGCCATGAATCCAATCGCCAAGGCCAGTGCCTCTTCCTCAGCAAATCAACAGTATCAACTACTTTCCCGTTGACATGAAACCTCGTCATCACCCTTTAAAATCAATAACTCAAGTTCAAATCTTGTTTAACAAGCAATCGCTCCCCTTTGAAGTCTGGACTGCAAAGAAGAACGTAAACTAAACATAAGTAAATTAAAAGACCTAGCACAATCATAAGTAATCTCAGGAAGATTTTTACGTAATTACACTAATAACCTTCTTTCGAATACTGTAGTTTGCAGTTTTGAAACCTAACAAATCGGACTCACACGATTGGATATATATTATATAAACAACTAACATCGTTTCTCACTAAAAATTTCATTCTTAAACGATAAGAACTACAATTTGATCATGAACTGGCTTACTTGTTTACTAGGTTTGAAACGGTTCGAAAGAGATCAAGGCGAAAGTGATGGAGAAACCTTCTCCGTCGCTCTCTTCTCTCTCTCTCTCTAAATCGCTAGGGTTTAAATGCGGTGACGGCGGCGCCTCCGTCTGAGGGTTTTGATTGTTGACGAAATACAGTGGAGATCTGGTGGAAGGCGCGATCGGAGGGAACTCCAAGAAAGAAGCCAGATAACTGGAAGTCTGGACCAAAAGATTGGACGCCGTTTAACTCTGCTATAAATTACATAAATAGTCCCTAAAGTATTTCATCTCTGCCAGATTTAGCCCTTGCTTTTTTTCTAAGATGTTTAAGATTTTAATTCGATATGAACCGTTTAGTAACGGGAGCAGGCCCGACCCTGGCCATGTGCAGCTCGTGCGACTGCACAGGACATAAGCCCAAGGGTCGTCTAAATTTTATGTGTTATTAGCTTTGGTTTAATCATTTGGGGATATAAACAACAAACTCAAGCCGCTAAGGGCATCAACTAAGCGGTTAATCTACTTCAAGAAAGGTAGCGTGAATACCATAATTAAACAAGTAAACAAACTAACTGGTTCACATTGATCCTCATCTCTTCTCGTTTGACTTTTTAATTATTCGGTGTGTGGATTAGTCGTCTTACTTGACTGTGTCTCAAACCATTTAGAAAATAATACGTGTCGTTTGCTTTAAAAAAAATCGGCATATGGGTATTTTTTAGCATCCCCGCACAATGCATCAGATACCCCAAAACCAGTCCTGAACGGGAGGTTCAAATAAAAAGACTAAATATCTTGAGAAGATAAAAACGAGAGGTTTGTGTATGAATTGTTGAAAAAATCAGAGAAAAATCTATTTGAAGATGCATATGTAAATCGATATTACGGATAATTCATATGAGTTCACATATGCATCTTCAAATGAATATTTCATATTATTCATATATGAGCTTTCCCTTTTTACCTTCCCACGGGATTTAGATTTTTTATGACTATTCTTTTTACATCTTCTTAGTTCTTGTTCCATCTATTTTGTAGGACAGAAAAATGCATTTTTGTCCTGCTCATTTCATGTCTCTGTCTATTGTTGTATCAAACTGGGACAACAAAACTTAACTCGTTTATTTTAGGCTGTGTTTGATACGTGAACCATAAATAATAGAACTAGATTAGACAAAAAAAATAGAAAATGAAATCCAATTTGTTTAACAATCTATAACTTGATTATTGAAACTTCATACTGTAATAATCATTTTTACAGCACACCGAACACTTTCCTCATGATTGACAGATGTTGATATTAATCACCCAATTTTGGTTTTAGAAACGTTATTTCTGTAATAACCATGATATGATAATGTTTTTAATTGATTGTTCATATGATCCATAGAAAACGTATTATTCATATGAATGAAGTGTATATTCGACCAGAAATAATATATCACATGTGTGAAATTCAAACCTGAATCGTTTTACAACCAAAATTGCAAGTTTTATGCTTAAAAGTACAAAACCAGTCCCTTAATTTGTTGCAAATCTACACTTTTATGTTTCTTCTGCCTTTTTGTGACATAATTAGCGGATGACATATAACTAAGATTTGCATGTCAACTGTCTCCGGTCCTTATATTGTTGGACTATGGTTTGATAAGACATTTGGTTATCTATCGGGTATCGCTTCTAAGTGGGTAGGCGGGTAGCAAATCATTTAATTTTATTCAGTTATTGTCTATTTTATCTGCAAAAGGGACGTGTTTTTCTGACCAATGATGTCTAATAAAATATTCTGTTTAATTATTAATCATATATTTTGAAAAAATATGAATTAATCAGAACATGTGAGGTTGACACTTTTATGATTATTCGTATTATTTATGATGGTTATTTAAAATAATAAATAATTAGATTTTTTTCTAAAATTTGTTTAACAAATCCAAAATTTATAATATATATGATAATCAATTTGAAATTCTTTTAGTCAACTTGTTATATTCTTTATCATCTTTTTGGTATTAATTAATATGTTATATTTTTAGAGATTTTTTAAAATATATTATGAAATATTGTAATTGAATAATTTTTCAATATGTCCTTTTTGGTCATTTTACATGTTTGTTAACTAGTTTTTGCCAAATATGATCTGTTTATCAGTTATCAGCTAGCTTGTTAGTCATCAGTTAGTTTACCAAACATAACCTAATTATCATTATAATAAAAGTAAAAATACAACTGCAAATTTGTATTTGTATGCGTACTTGTATATTTGAAAAGACTATTATTAGTCTCTTATGTCTGATTCGTTAAGAGGTAAGACCATTCAGACTGTTTGGTTTTCTAATTTTTAAAGGCATTCATGTCTTATTATCCTCTTATCTGGTAAGAGGTAAATCAACATCTTATTTGTACAAGGTTGATTTATCTCAATCACCGTACAAGTAAACGTATCAAGATATAAGATTGAATAAAGTAAAAGAATAATCAAGAAAAATAACGTGTGATGCAATCATTCATCGACAACACTGAAAATTTGGGTCATGGTTATCATATCGTCAAGACTCGATTGGGTTGTTGAGTCATCTTGACCGTTAGCCAAAGTCCAGATGTGCCTGTAAGGAAACATAAGTTGGATTTTTGTAACGGGTAGAATAGTAATAAACCAACGCTTGCTTTTAGAAAGGAATTTGTCCTTTAAAGGGGAAACAATTGTGGAAGTACATGTAGATGGACTTAAAATCATGTGAGACAACATTTTTACATTTGAAACTTTACAACAAAAGACTGTAAAGGTAACTTTCACAGTATTTTTGCTATAAAGGTTTTTTTTTTCACCTTTACAACATTTTGTTGTGAAGTTTCAAGTGTAAAAATGTTGTCTCACGAAAACATGATGGTCTCACGTGAACCCAACCCCCTATAGAGGTCCCCTGTACCTCAACTACTACGACACAAGCCTTTATGGTTATGATACATTATACTTGTTATAATATTTAAAACGCAAAATTTAACAGTCAAAAATTCCGATAATCATTTGAATTAAGACAATGTATAACTGATTTAGCACTTGTTTGATTTTTATCCATTAAGTTCTGAATTTATTAAGTTGTTTATAAGCATTAATTTGTCTGGATAAATTAAGATAAATTGTTTTTAAATTTCTATCTTAAATAAATAGTTTGAATGACAAAAATTACCACTTTAACCTTATGTCTACATAAGTGTTGAATAAAAATAAACTGCTCGATAAATATGTAAAATGACCACAAAAAAAAAAGTCAAGTTACACGAATTATTTAAAATAGCAAAAACAATATGAATTCAACAAGTTAATAACACGATATTTATTTAAAACCGTCGAATATTATTCTTTGATTACAAATTTTAATGGGCAAATTGCATGAAAAAATAACATACTTTAACTTGATTGCCATTTTGGGTAATGTACTTTCAAAACTTCTATTTTAGTACCCTAAGATATAAAGTTTTAAATATTTAAATATCCGAATAACCAGTTGAAAACTAATTTTAGATTAAAAAAAAGACTAATTTTAGATTAAAAAAATCTATGTCACTAACCACGTCAACAAAAATACTGAGCAGATACCACATCACTCTCCATGTCAGCATGATAGCCGGTTAATGCTTCAACCAGTTATCCGAATACTTAAATATTTAAAACATTACATCTTAGGTACAAAAATGAAAGTTTTGAAAGTACATTACCCAAAACATTTTTAATTTATGCATGTTGACAAACTTTTTTTTAATGAGAATTGTGATTAAAAATTGCAGGACAAGAGTAATCTTGAAACAAAAATCTAACTAATGTATTAAGATATGATGAACTAACTTAACGTGTTAAGTCAATTTTTAATATTAAATTAAAATCGAACACACGTTATGCGAACCGACTAATCCCAAGACGACTACATGCTTTGCAGATAGCCTGGAGTCACCGCATTTGAACCTCCGTGGCCACAAAGGGATTTTTATTTCTCTTTGGATTTGAACATGAGACTTCCTGGTGGCTGATACTTTTGATCTTTGAAGTCAAGTTCAAACCAATCAAACACCACACTTGTGGTTTGAAATGTTACTAATCATACTGAAATGAAAATATTTGTATAATTTGATGATTAATTAAGATTCCCCAAAAACAGAAGTTGTGGTTGATGCATTAAAGATGTGTACGCAATGCATATAGAGTTGTACATTTATCTAGATATGGTTGAATCCACAACTTGTGGAGTCAAATTCGTGAAGCAAACAAACAACCAACGACATTTCCATTTATTTCACGTGTGTTTTTTTAATGCCGTTCATTTTTGTATTTAAAATATTTTGCAATTAATTATTTTTTTGGATTATTAAAAAATATATATATATTTCTTTTATTTTGTATGTTTTTAAATTTATTAAAAGAGTACTCCCACAATACAGCAAGACATGTTTCGATTTTAATTTTCTATTTTATTATTTGTCTTTGTCAATGTTATAATACGATTTTATGTGTTTTTAAGAAAACAATAATGATTTTATTTTTGAATAAAATATAAATTTTAAGATATTATAAAAATTTTAAAAAATATATATCAATGTTAATATCTTTTCAACTATTTAAAGATTCTCATTTTTTATGTAATTTTTTTAATTTTTTTATTATAATTTAATTTAAGTTTAATAACGAAATAATTTATTTTTGATTTAATAATATAACATTTTATAAAGATAATAATGAATTATTCTGTTAGAAATCAATGATTATCCTATTTTATATTTAAAATGAGATGTGTATCATGTATTCGATTATGTTTATCTGCAGTTAGTTACACGAACTCGAATATGGAACTTTAATAAGTTGTACTTACGCACAATCTACTTGCAATCTTGAGTTTTAAGTAATTTGCATTAATAAACAATATTTTTTATGTAATAAAAAATGATTTTTAAGAGTTTTTGTCAAATGCTCTATAATATAGTATAAATGTGGATGAAGCTGATAAATCTGAGGTTCTGTTGGAAGTCGATAAATTAGAGATGTGGAGATAATGTTAATAGGTTGTACCAAAGCATTGAGAATTTGTAAATTTGAAAATTAAGTAATTTACCATAAGATATTAGTACATAATGCTTTAAAGATTATTTTTAAGAGATTGGGCCAAATGTTTTATAATATAGTATAGATAACGACAAATTTATTAAAAATCTCTAAAATAAATAATAAAAACCCAAAACCTCAAAAAAAAAAAAAGGATTTATTTATAATAAATTATTTATTTTAGTGATTATAATATTATTATATTATTAAAATATTTTATAAGTATAATAAAATATGATTTTTTTCTCTTTAATTTGGAGAAAGTTTTAGAAGTTGTTTGGTTTAGGCTGAGGAACAAAAATGAGATTGAAAATGAAACTGATAGTGAATGTATTCCCTCAGCTTAACCTGAAATAAAAATGTAGTGGTGCTCAAAAACCCGACCAACGCGAAATAGCTCAATCCGAAACAAACCAATCTCTAATCGAGTTGCAAAATTTTCAAACCTTATGTATTGGATTGATATTAGGTTACACTAGTATTTGAACCCGATGAACCCGATATTATTTTATTTATTGAATTTAATATGATTGTTGAGTTTTCATTAATACGTATATTAGACAATTACACTATTACGTACCCTCTTCATATATACGTATTTGAAATTATCCATCTTTATATAACTCACCCGTGTACATGTTCAATAATTTTAAACGTGTATATGTAAATTGAGAAAATTAATTGAATATGATATACGTAAAATTTAAGAAGTATAGATAAGTTGTATCAAATGATTGATGATGAAAAATAAATTATGAGTAGAGAAACAATATATTCAAAGTTAGAATAATATTTCAATGTATCAAAGTATAACTCGACTAACTCGACCAACCCGTACGGTTTAGATTGAGTCGAGTTAAGATTTTTCAAACCACAAGCATTGAGTTGAATAGTTTAAATGTATTCAATGCAATCAACCTAACCCATGAGCACCCATACTAAGCGGGATGAACGTATTATATTATATAAATGAAGTCATTATTTTTATTTTTCAATATTTATCTAGGGACTATTTGACAGTTGCTAAATATTTTGATACAAAATGATTAAGTTGTCATAAAATTTAGAAGCTATGTGTATTATCGTAAATAATGAAATATAATTGTTTAGTAAGTGTTCTAAATAGACGCTCTAAATAACTGTATAATTTAATATTAAGGGGGTGTTTGAGATTGCTTATAAAAACTGTTTTATAACTTATTTCAGTCTGGAACTGGTGATAAGCTGTTTTCTGGTGTTTGGATAAGAAAAAAAAACTGCTTATACCGGTGCCAAACCGGTAATAAGCTGTTTTTGATAAGTTAATTCTTCCTGACTTATGAAAAACTGCTTATTACCAGTTTACAATTTTAATCATATTTTATTTAACTCTGGTTTGATTTCATATATGTATACTATATTATAATGCATTTGGCTAAAACTCTTAAAAACTCTTAAACTCTTAAACCCGCTCATCCCTATCCGATTTCATCCCTATCCGATTTCATCCCATAACTGAATTCGTGTAACCAACTACAGATAAACACAATCCAATACAGGATAAACATCTCATTTTAAATATAAAAAATCTAAAA